CAAGGCAATCTACAGATTTAATGCAATCCCTATCCAATTACCCAGGACAATTACACAGAACTAAAACAAATCATAATAAAATTTATATGGAACCATCAAAGACCTAGAATTGCCAAAGCATTACTGAAGAGAAATAAAGAGGCTGGAGGAATAACTCTCTCAGACTTCAGACAATACTATAGAGCTACAGTCATCAAGACAGCATGGTATTGATACAAAAACAGACATATGGACCAATGGAATAGAATAAAGAGCCCAGAAATGAACCCACAAACCTTTGGTCAACTAATTTTCAACAAAGGAGGCAAGAATATACAATGGAATAAACAAAGTCTCTTCAGCAAATGGTGTTGGGAAAACTGGACAGCAGCACGTTAAACAATGAAGCTAGAACACTCCCTTACACCATACACAAAAATCAACTCAAAATGGATCAAACACTTAAACATACGACAAGATACAATAAACCTCCTAGAGGAAAATATAGGCAAAGCATTATCTGACATACATCTCAAAAATTTTCTTCTAGAAGAAATAAAAGCAAGAATAAACAAATGGGACCTAATGAAACTTACAAGCTTCTGCACAGCAAAGGAAACCAGAAGTAAAACAAAAAGACAACCTACGGAATGGGAAAAAAATTTTGCAAATGAAACCGACAAAGGCTTGATCTCCAGAATACATAAGCAGCTCATACGACTCAATAAGAAGAAAATAAACAACCCAATGCAAAAATGGGCAGAAGACCTAAACAAGCAATTCTCCAAGGAAGATGTACAAATGATCAATAGACACATGAAAAAATGCCTAATATCACTAATTATCAGAAAAATGCAAATCAAAACTACAATGAGGTATCACCTCACACCAGTCAGAATGGCCATCATTGAAAAATCCACAAATGACAAATCCTGGAGAGGCTGTGGAGAAAAGGGAACCCTCCTACACTGCTGGTGGGAATGCAGTTTGGTACAGACACTGTGGAAAACAGTATGGAGATTCCTCAAAAGACTAGGAATAGACTTATCATATGACCCAGGAATCCCACTCCTGGGCTTATATCCAGAAGGAACCCTACTTCAGGATGACACCTGCACCCCAATGTTCATAGCAGCATTTATTTACAATAGCCAAGACATGGAAACAGCCCAAATGTCCATCAACAGATGACTGGATAAAGAAGTTGTATATTTATACAATGGAATACTACTCAGCCATAAAACCCAACAACATAACGCCATTTGCAGCAGCATGGATGCTCCTGGAGAATGTCATTCTAAGTGAAGTAAGCCAGAAAGAGAAAGAAAAATACCATATGAGATCACTCATATGTGGAATTTAAAACAAACAAACAAAGCATAAATACAGAACAGAAATAGACTCATAGACATAGAATACAGACTTGTGGTTGCCAAGGGGGTGGGGGGTGGGAAGAGATAGACTGGGATTTCAAAACTGTATAATAGATAAACAAGATTATACTGTATAGCACAGGGAAATATATACAAGATTCTTAAGGTAGCTCACAGAGAAAGGAATGTGACAATGAATATATATATATGTTCATGTATAATTAAAAAACTGTGCTCTACACTGGAATTTGACACAACATTGTAAAATGATTATAAATCAATAAAAAATGTTTAAAAAAAAGCAAAAAAATAAAATAAAATAAGATTTACTCATATCAAATGATATAGATAAAATAGACCAGAAATAAACTATATAAGTATATGCACAAAATACTTGCAAAAATAGTGTGCCCTAAGTGTTCAGAAAATAATGACGAAAAGGTATGGTTTTTTTGGCTGATTTGTAATATGTACTTTTTTCTTGTCTCAATCAAAAGTGCACATCAACGAGCAGTGTGGGTGCATGACTCCAGTAGAATTTTAGTAGCTTTAATATTTGCACTTCTAGGAGCACTGGTTAATACCGCTCTGCAAAGTCTATAGTCTTATTCTCTATTGCTGTTCTGAACTCTTTTTCCTGAGTGTTGGTTTGCCATATGTCAAGAATCAATACCATTATGAAGCCTATCAGTGGGGATAATCAGCTGCCTAGTGCCTTGATTGTAGCAGGGATTCGACAAAGGCTTGTCAATTTAAATTTATTTCAGCAGGAATCAGAAAGTAGGAGAATCCCAACTGGTTGCGAAAGTCTTTCTGCTTTGCTTCTTCCTGCGTAAAACTGTTCATTACAAGGCTTCTTCAGAGAAGCAGATGTGCTAATATCAACTCCCACATAGGGTCTTACTCAGAATAGGGGCTGGGTAGGTGTTTGCTCCACTGAAGTGAATGAAATGAGTCACTTATGCATCCTCAATTCCCATATGGCTGTCATCAGTTTTAAGTCATCCACCTAAGTCCACGTGTGGCGCACATGCTGGCTGTCTGATGGAAGTGACAGAAGCCTCAAGAGCCATCCGTTTATTTACATATTCATTCAATCAGCAAATGCTTATTGAAGCAGGAACTTCTTGGAACTTACTCATGGAGGAGGAGACACGGAAAACACATAAACTGGTAAATATGCAACACGATGTCATTGCTAAGTGCTGGAAAGGAGACTTGGACAAAGGGGTGGAAGAGGACAAACTGCTTTTTTAAAGAGGGAGCTCAGGGATGAGTCCCAGGAGAGGACATTCGAGCAGACTGAATGAGGGCGGGGAGCCATCGTTGGAACTCAACCGAGGAAGGGCAGAGAGGACCAAACATGCAAAGTCCCTGAGAACAGAGGAACCGCAAGAGGCATAAGAGGAGTGAACAAGATGGGCACGGTGGAGGGATGAGACCAGAGGGGTACCTGGGTCCAGACACCTTGAAGCCTTCAGGCAAAGCCTTTGGATTTTACTCTGCATGGGAAGGGGAGTTCTAAACCCAGGAGGGATCCTGTCAGATTTCACTACCAGAAGAATCACTCAGACATACAAGATTTCTCTTTCTCACTTGCTTCCTTCATCTGAAAATCTTGTTTCTGAGAGTGAGAAGCGGAAGAGTTATTTTTATGGGATGGCCATTCTGCTTTGAAAGCATCCCGAAATAAACTATCACGTACGATCTTCACCACAAAATTATGGTTTTAGAAACAATGCCCAGTGTTGTCCATTTAGAAAAACAAATGGAGGAAGGAAGATAGTAAATAAGAAAAAGATTTCTTGTAGCTCATGGCAGATTCCCAAGAAGAACTGCCTCTTTCGGGACAGGATTCAACTGACTGTGTAATCAATTCGCTTGATTTCTCAACCACCACACAAAACACTTCCATTTAGAAACCCAGAGGAGGGCCCAGGAATATAAAAGTTTAGATATATTCCCTGCCTAGGGGAGGTATCTACACAGGACCCCACCTTAAACTAGGGGGAGAAATCCTGAGAAACCTTCAGCTCATTTCAAACCTCCTGTGATCTTGCCAAGTCTGATCTGTCAACACTTGTGATAATGAAGTAATTTATGATGACCTGTAATGACAGAATTGAACATGATTTCAAAAATATTTTCTTACCACACAGGACAAAAATGCATTTTCATCTAAGAGGTTTCAAATCAATGATCAAAATAAACATATCCATCTCATCTTTGAAATAAGTAGATTTGCTGCTGGTATGCAAATTATATTCATTTGTAACACTGTAAGAGCTTTTGGTAATTGTTTTTTAGTACTTAAACCTAACCACATGGAGAGGAAGTAAAAATTCTGTTGGTGAGGGTGTGAAATTCTGATAAACTTGAAATATATCGCAGAAGAGAGTTCCTATAAAATTTGTGAATGTATTTTATACATTTAAGTGTCACAGTTTAAATGATTGTTGGTCACCCCCAAGTCTGTGGGGCCATCTGATAGAAAACAGTTGACTTGGATGGCCTTACACAATCTTTCTTTTTTGCCCTAATTTTATGATGCATGCAAGTGGAATCTTCCTGGAGTCTCAAGCGTTTTCCCAAACTTTGTCATGATCTTGCAGCCGCCACTTTTATACACAGTTGGTCTTGTCGGAGGGGCATCTTCCTGCACATTTGCCCGGAAACAGGTCTATCAGAGTGTCCCTGGAGCTCGTGGTCTGCTGATTTCCAAACTTAATTTCTGTCTATACACTTTCCTAAGCAATTCTAGAAAGGCCCATTAACAACATAGACTCTGAAAGAACTGAAAGCTGTAAGATTCTTCATCTGGAATTAGTTAAATGAAGTAGTGGAGAAAAAATAATACATCATTCCAGCCAGGGAACATACAAAATGATAGAATCATCCACTGGAAAGTATCTCTTTTATTTTCTGCTTCTAAGTCATTTCAACTCCTCAAACTCCCTCAAACTTTTGGAAGATTCCAATGAAGGAGAACCACCCTCCCTTATCTGCTTTCATTCCTACAAACCAAATAGCTTTATAGAAAATAGACGCCTATACCCTATTGATTTTACCCATAGACCAAAAACATATGTGTGTGTGTGTAACGTGTGTGGTGAGATAACAGAAAGAGAGAGACACAGGGAGAGAAGGAGACTTTAAATCAAAGCTGATAAACTGTAAAAGATATTCAAATGGCTTTTAAAAGAAAACTAACACCATTCCTGCTTAGTTCTGAAATGTTTCCATTCAGATTTATATAATTTTTAAGTAGTTTTTAAAAATATTTTCAGCCAAATAATTCATGTTCGTTATGAAAAATTATAAAAGGAGAAATAAAAGAAAAAAGAATCACCCCCTATTCAACGTCCTTGAAACAGCCACTGTTAATAGCCACTATGGTTTAAAACTGGTTCCTCTGTGCACAGGGAGCGCTGTGAATATTTTCTGATGAGCTCATACTTTTTACAATTTACAACTTTTTCTTCACTGACCATCAAACTGCCATGTTTCCATGTTTATAAATAGATATCTATATCCTAATTTTAATTAATTTTAAATGTATTGAATGTTTTTAAAAGTCACCATAAACCTCCAAGTCTGGTAGAGGTGGGACAGCCTAGGTATTCTTAACAACTTTTCCATTAAAAAGCCAAAAACTCTATAACATATTTAAATAAAAGCTATTCAAATACATTGTTAAACCAGTAAGAAAATTTTTTTAAAATCCTTAGAAGGCAAAAATTAATAAAAGGAAGGAATCCAGAAGAGAGTAACCACAGAAGCGTGCTGTGTCAGGTGGTATCCGCCAGCTCCTGGAGACTGGTCTGTTTTGACAGCCTTTCAAGCCCAAGGGTAGGGCCGCCCAAGAGGGAATTCCTCTAGGAGACCCCCACGTACAGCTGGGAACCCCGGTGGCCATACCATCAGTGAAAGGGAGATCCAGAAATAAACCTGCTCTCAGAAGCAGACAGTGAAGGGCAGTTTTGCTTTGTTTTTTTTCATCTCGGAACTGGGTGAATGAGTGGGGAGAGAAATTGTCTGAGAAATTATGGCTCTGAGACAGCCCTCCTCCAGGTTCATGGTCTGAATTCCTACTATCTGTGTGAAGTTGAAAGACTCAAGGCTAAGGATTATTTTGAACAGGTCACATGTCGATATCGTCCGTAAACATCTAGCAGAAGCAAACTGGGTCCTTTTTGGAGGAACTCTCTCTAAATGCAGGCCTCAAATAATTTCAGATAGTGTTCCAAGGAATATAAATACATGGTCCAAAAAAAAAAAATCACAAAACACATAAGAAATAAGAGAGCATGAGCAACAGCCAGCAGAAATAAAACAGAGATGACAGAATGAGATCCGCAAAGACTTGAGATAGTGAAACATACAAGCTGTTATTTTAAAATGCTTAAAAAACAAAAGATATAATTAAGAATATGAGTAAGAATAAGAAATTATAAAAATAGTTGAGCAGATTTGGAAGGAAAAAGGAGCTTCCAGGAAAGAAAAAACTAATATTAAAAAAATTAAAAACTCAGTGGATCTAGAGAATTAACACTAAAATAAATACAATTTTAAAAATCAGAAAGATAGCAAGGTATAAAATTAACATATAAAATTAATATCCTTTATTTCACAAAATAATGGAAGAGTGAATCCCATTTATAATAGCCAAAAAAAAAAGATAAAATACTTAGAATAAACAACATGAAATTTGCAAAATCTACATGAGGAAATGCCAAAACGCTCCTGGAAGAAATATGAACTTAACCAAATGGACAGGCATGCTTGTTCTTGGGTAAAATAAGTCAACGTCATAAAAATGTCAGATTTTTATAAGTTAATTTAATAAGCGTTTCATAAAGCCTCTATAAAAATACCAAAAAAGCTTTTTTCTTAAAATGAGATAAGTTAATACTAAAAGTCATATGAAAAATAAACATGCAAGAATAGCCGGAGAAACACCAAAAAAGAAGAGCTGTCAGAGGGCAGGGAGAGGCAGAAATCCCCATTAGAGTCAAATATATCAGAAAGCCGTTTCAAGTGCAAGAGCATGGGACTAGCTCACAAATTCACACATGGATCAGTGGAAAAGACGAAAAAGTACAAAGATATATGGAAATGTAATGTGTGATAAAGTTGACATCTCCAATCACCGGACCAAAATTAGACCAAAATAACTGGAAAGCCATTTAGAAAGAGATAAACTATATCCCCCACTCACACTGTACAAAACTAAAAAACAACAATAAAAACAACAACAAATAGATATAAACCCTAATTATAAAAATGGAGCCATATAAGTGCTAGAAGAAAACAGGTATGTTCCTTTTAAACCTGTAAGGAAAGACTTTTGAAATACGTCTGAAACTTCAGATGCAATAAAAGAAAAGATTCATAAATTCAACTGGATAAAAAAAAGCTTTGCATGGCACAAAACTCTATAAGCAAAGTCAAAAGGCAAATTACAAAGTGGAGGAAAAATATTTGTGGCATGTTTTGTCAATAAAGAACTAATATCGCAAATGTGTAAAGAACTCTTTTTTTTAAAGTTCTTTTTAAAATGTAATTTAATTTTGAATTGAAATGTGGTTGATTTATAATGTGTTAATTTCTGGCATACAACAAGGTGATTCAGGTATACATATACACATATGTATATGTATATATACATATTATTTTCCAGAATATATATATACATATTATTTTCCAGGTATGTATACATACATATACATACCCATTAACCTTAGTTCACAGTATTTATATCTAAGATGTATCAAGATTGTTTCCTGAGCTCATTTTAATTCTATAACATATGTATAGAAATATTTGCATTTGGGGATCTAGAGGAGAAAAATATTTTTCTGCTATCTATTAGTTCCTTCAGCTGGGGCCCTAACAAAAACCAGATTAACAAGAGAAAAACAGAAGTTTACTAACATGTGCATTGTGCACACATATGGGAGCACCCAGTGATGAGAAACTCAAAGAGGTGGTTCGAACTTGGGCTTATAGAGCATCTTAAACAAAAGAACAATACATTTTTGTAGAAGTGACCAAACAAAGGAAAAAAGACTTTGAGATTCTAGCGGTGGCAAACTGTGGGAAGACAATTATATGGGGCAACTTACGGTAGATAAAAGGTAGTTTTAGCAAGTTTTGTTATGTAGATTCCTCTGGTTCCATCTCAAAAGCTCGTAAGCGACAAGCATTGTCTTTGGTGATTAGCTTCTGCTCTGTAGGCAAGAGAGGAGTGGGGAGATACCTTTATAAATTTATATTCTGCTTTTAAGCAAATAAGGAGGAGGGCAGAAAATTTTTCTTGTATCTGCTTCTTATTTGCCTTCAGTTCAAAATAATCTTTATATAAAAGGGGCATAGTTGGGGATGGCAGATTCTGCTAACCTTTGGGGAAATGACGAGACACTTTCATCAAATAATTTCCCAGCAAAAGGGGATATTATAGACTCCAGCAGAGCAACAACAGCAGTGCTGTGAATCTTGGCATACAACCAGTTTGCATACAGAGGGAAGAGGAAGGCTAGAAACGTGTATGAAAACTTGTTCTGAGAGAGAGGACCTTCAAAAGGTGTGTACGGTTTGACTCAGGAAATATAGTAATTATCTGTAGTAATTATTTTCTATTGTTTGTAGCAATTATTCTAAGAAAGGAATGATCCCAGCTATACGTTAAAATGGCAAAGAAAATTGTAACAGCAAAACAACTTGTGTCTTACTTGCATGAAGTCTGGAAGAGTATATACCAAGAATGTAAACCACAGCCTTTTGCTTGGGGAGTTATTTTCATGAGTGATTCAGCAAATCTTATGATAAAGGACAGGCCAAAGAGCTGATGAGCACACACTAAGCTACAGAGCACTGAGCAGAGAGAGGCTTTTAATGAAAAAGGGAAAGTCTTGCACATGGAACTGTAATGATGTGGACAGTACAGGAGAACCAGAGGTGGGGCCAGGGCCTCACCACCATGGAGGGGTGTCTACTGAGGCTGCACATGGGCCCAGGAGCAGCTCCGTTCTGCGGGGACTGCCAGCCGTAGTCGGCTGCTCCTTGAAACACAATTGCAGGTGTATTCTGCATCACTGAAAACTGCGATAGAATATTAAATCTGTTGGTCTACTAAAAAATAGGTGACGAGATAATATAAATTTCCTTCTTTTAGCTTCTCTCTATTGCTAATGTTCCCTATAATTATTATGCCTTTCTTTTATAATTTTTACACAGGTTATTTTTTATTTTTTAAAAATTTGTGGGTGGGTCTTTTCTGCATTTGAAAGCATTTTTAAATATCCTCTGCTCCAGGAGTAGAAGTTAAAATTCCAAGAAAGAGGAACCTAGTTGTAAATGTGAGTGTTGGGGAAACATTAAGAAGTTGAGTTTCCAGAAATAAACTCATGGACATAGAAAACAAACTGTGGTTATCAAGAGGGAAAGCAGGGAGGGATAGATTAGGAGTTCGGGATTGCCAGATACACACTACTGTATAAAAAATAGATAAACAACAAGGACCTACCATATAGCACAGGGAACTATATTCAATTTCTTGTAATGAGTCATATTGAAAAAGAAAATGACAATATATAGTATATATGTATGTGTATAACTGAATCACTTTGCTGTATACCTGTAATTAACATTGTAAATTGACTACACTTAAATAAAAAATAAGAATTAAAAAAAGTTTTAAATAACATAACATAAAAAAGAAAGAAATGGGGGGCAGGGTATAGCTCAAGTGGTAGAGCACATGCTTAGCATGCATGAGGTCCTGGGTTCAATCCCCAGTACCTCCTCTACAAATAAATAAACCTAATTACCTTCCCAACTCAAAAAAAAAAAAAAAAACACACACAAAGTAAGTACTCAATAAAGATTACCTTTATTAAAAAAAGAAAAGAAAAAAACTGAGTTTCCTTCACATCCTCAGACTATCTATTTTGATATTAAGCCAGGTCTTCTCCAGCCCATGCATTGGCCGTGAAATGATTCCTGCTGTGTCATGCAGACACCTGCAAAAGGCAGAGTGAATCTATGCTTGGGCGGTGAGCCTGGAACAATGGAGGGTACTTGCCAAAAGGGAGTTCAAATTCCTTCAGAGTTTAAATGTTTTCCATTTCACCAGGACTGGATGACCTCCTGGTCTTCTCCTGCCCAAGAATCTCCCTAAAGCTTAGGTGCTTTGTCAGAGCTCAGGAATGAATCTTCTGGAAAGAAATGATTCTGAGAGTAAAAGTTTTCCATACCAAAGATACGTCAGACTCCGTGTCCAGTATTAACCCCAGTCCCTCAACAACCTTAAGTTTCTCCCAGGTGTGGAGAGAGTGAGGAAGATGCCGTGATGGGTGATGTGTGAGAACCAGGTGCAAATGTCCATGGGGTCCAGTCCATCAGACGTACATAGACACATATTTGGAGCAGGCCCTCCAGGAAGTACATTTCAGTGATGTTCTGTAAGCATTAAGAGACTTGGGCTTCCTCGTGAAAAGAATATTCAGAAGTCTCTAAATTTTTTTCCACAAGACTGTGTTTTTAAAACCTTTTTCACCACAATTTAAAAAAACACAGCATGATTCCTTATACACACATACAATCTAACATATATCTACAAAGGAAAGCTTCATAAAACAATATGCAATTTTACTGTGTATAACTGATCATTTCTAATCTATCCTAGTTCTTCTTCAAGACTTCTCTCCTTTTTTAGAACCACTTAATATATTTCACAACCCAATAATGGATCAAAACCTACCTACATTATTTATATAACCTGCTTTAAGCATTTTTCCCCCTGAAATTATCTCTTAAATGTTCATGGGTTTATTTTCCACCCCAAATTATCTATTTCTCAGCACTACACCATCACCACAAAAAGACAGTTTGTTCTGTGTTTGTCCACATTTTTAATAAGCTCCTCATTCAGACAAAATCCTCTCAACCTTTTGTGATTAAGTATTCTCTTTAATTGCTTGTGTAGAATGCTCATTGCATGAATATTATAGGCATTGCATGTCCAAGTCATTAATATTTGTGGAGCTGTGGGGAAGCAAGTTCTCCAAATAACCCTGTAAAAAGTGAGTCAGAATTACAGCGTGTTCTTAAAATAAATTATCCCACTTACTATGTGATCTTAAAGAAGTTATCTAACTGCTCTGAGGGATGAGTTCCCTCATCTGCAAGATAATGACATTTTATTGTATTATTGGGAGGTTTGTATAAAATAACACAGAGAAAGGGCTTGGCTCAGTGCCAGGCACAACATAGGTTCATTTTGAGAGATGAGCTATTATTATTATTATTTAAATAAATCCCTATGTTAGACTAGGTCCTCTAGGAAACAGAGCCTGAAGCAAGCATTAAGATCCTAACATATTTGGGGGTGAAAACCCAGGATAATGTAAATAGAGGAATAGAGGGGGTGAGGCAAGGAAAGATACAGAGCAACACAAGAGGATGTGTTCTGGGCTGACTAGTTATTCTACTACATGTTGCAAAAAACACAGCAATTTGCTTTGCACACAGGACTTCTCTAGAAGGATTGCAAGGAGGAACTGTATCTTTGAATAGTCTATGGGAAAGAGAATGGTAGGGGAATTTTACTTTCTCTTGGCCATGTTTCATCCTGGAGAAGCTAAGTCCTTTGTACTTCCTGGTTGTAGCATCTAACCCCTCGGCAGCTACTGAGGAAGCCAGATTCCACGAACTGTTTTGTGTTGCTTCATTCTAGTCTTACAATGAGGGGGCTAACCTGGTGCAGTTGTGATCATCGAGAACAATATCTAAGAAGGCATGAGAGAGGCTCAGTGTACCTAACCGATTTTAATCTCCTGGTTTTGATAATTGTTGCTTGGTTGTTTTTTTTTATATATATTGAGCTGTATGAGCTGTTTGTATATTTTGGAAATTAAGTCCTTGTTGTTGCATCATTTGCAAATATCTTCTCTCATTCCATAGGTTGTCTTTTCATTTTATTTATGGTTTCTTTTGCTGTGCAAAAGCTTATAAGTTTAATTAGGTCCCATGTGTTTATTTTTGCTTTTTATTTCTTTCCCTTTGGGAGACCGTTCTAAGAAAGTATTGCTATGATTTATGTCAGAGAATGTTTTGCCTATGTTCTCTTCTGGGAGTTTTATGATGTCATGTCTTGTATGCAAGTCTTTAAGCTATTTTGAGTTTATTTTTGTGTAAGGTGTCTCAGTGTATTAAAAAAGTTTTTCATTCTTATCTTTTATTGAAGTGTGGTCACTTTACAATGTTAGTTTCAGGTGTACAGCAAAGTGATTCAGTTATTGTTCCCTATGCTATACAGTAGGTCCTGTTGTTTATCTATTTTATATATAGTAATGTATATCTGTTAAGGTATGTTTATATATGTAATGTGTAAAATGTGATATCACCCAGCGCATCCAACGCAGATCAAGATATAGAGTGTTTCCCTCACCTTCACTTCATGAATCTATAGTATTAGCAGTCAAGACAATGGTTACCTTTGGAATGAGTGGAGCAGTGATCATGAAGGGGACCTCGGGAGCCTTCTGAGACTCTGGTAATGGTCCACTTCCTGACTCAGGTGTTGGTTAGAGAGTTGGGGTCATTTTTTGATAATTTACTGAGCTGTACACTTATGGCTTATGCATTTTATGTATGTATGAAATACTTCTATTAAAACATTCATTTTAAAAATATGATTCATTCTGAATCTGACTGAGGGAACTGCACAATGGAAATCATTTTAAAGTCCTGAAGTGCCCCGAGGTGCTGAAATTTGTGTTTGGACAATGTTTTCCACAATTTCCCCGAAACAAAGACAATATGTCCCCAGGTGACACTAACACCGTGGCTCACCTGAAGGTCTTCAGCGTTCCAAATGGAAGGACAGCCACTTTAATGGAATGGGGTTGGCATTTACAAGGGAGCTTTTTAAAACTTATTTTTAAAACCAGGTATCAGGAATATTTGGTTCAGTGGGAGCTGAGCATAAAAGATCAATTTTTAAATTAAGAATTTTAATCAATTTAAAATGAAGAATTTATTTAAAGTCTTTAGAACTAGATGAACCCTGAGAAAACACAAGGGGGCAGCATTTCATAACATTATAAATGGAGAATGCTGAAGGGGCTTTTTTTTAGTAAAGATACATGGATTGAGGATGGACTTTAAAGAGAGTGTTTTATCGAATGAGGAAAACGAAAGTTCAGAGAGGTTATTACAGGAAACATTTTAAGTTCCCTTAAACCAGAGGTCAAGAGTGGCAGAGCAAGTTCCCTTTCTCCCCACACCCTGTCTGGCATTTATCGTTTGTAGACTTTAATGATGGCCGTTCTGACTGGTGTGAGGTGACGCTTCATTGTAGTTTTGATTTGCATTTCTCTAACAATTAATGATATTGAATATCTTATCAAGTGCTTGTTGGCCATCTGGATGTCTTCTTTGGAGAGATGTCTGTTTAGGTCTTCTGCCCATTTTTTAATTGGGTTGCTTGTTTTTTTGATATTAAGTTATATGAGTTGTTTGTATATTTTGGAAATGAGTCCCTTGTTGGTTGCATCATTTGCAAATATTTTCTCCCATTCTGTAGGCTGTCCTTTCATTTTGTTGATGGTATCCTTAGCTGTGCTGGGAATGTAAATTGGTGCAGCCACTATGGAAGACAGTACGGAGGTTCCTTAAAAAACTAAATACAGACTTACCACATGACCCAGCAATCCCACTCCTGGGTATATATCCGGAGGAAAATATAATTCGAAAATACACATGCACCCCTATGTTCACAGCAGCATCGTTCTAAGTGAAGTAAGCCAGAAAGAGAACGAAAAATGCCATATGTCATTTATATGTGGAATCCAAGAAAAAAGGACACAAATGAACTTATCTACAAAACAGAAACAGACATAGAGAACAAACTTATGCTTACCAGAGGGTATAGGTGTGGGAAGGGATAAATTAAGAATTCGAAATTTGCACCTCTTGGGGAGTGATGGGAATGTTAGCTGTCTTGATTGTGGTGGTGGTTTCATATACATCTATCACAATTAATCAAATTGTACATCTGAAATATTTATAGTTTACTGTGCAGGAACCATACCACAAAAAAGGTGTTTAAAAAAAAAGTCATTGCAAAAAAAAAAAAAAGTGGCAAAGGAAGGACCACAGTTTATGTTTCCTGACTGTGAATTGAGTGTTTTCCTATTCCTATTGTCTCAAGTGGTCCCTTGGGTTAAACAGCACTTGCTGCGTGCTGGAAATGGTTAACCTCCCACCAAAAGATCCACGGATAAAATCTCCATTCACTGTGGACACAGATTAGGGCATAAGTGCTCGACACCCTTACTGAAAATGAGTAGTTTAATCTGAGTAAAACGTGAATCAACTTCCAGAGTAAAATTATGCTCCCAATTTAAATATGGGCTAATCTTCAATATAAAGGAGGCCTTGAGGGAACAGTTAGATTGTGATAGTTTTTAAAAATGTAGTTTGCAAATGTTAAAGCTGTGCGTTTTCATTTCCCCTTTGAATCAGGTTTTATCACATTCTCTCACCTACCTTAGAGGGTTGTTAACAAGCGTTAAACAAGACAATGAGATAATCCATGTAAAGTCTATAGTGCCTGACTCATAGAAGGATAATAAATGTTACTTGTTATTATTCTTGGCTTAATGACTTTGGTTTACTTAAAGAGAGAAAATTTAAACAACTCTGGCAATCAACGCATTTACATACACAGTTGGTACTGATCAATACAAAATCATCTTTAATTCATGTTTACTGGTATAGATTCTAAACGCTAACCTAGTAAATAGCCACACCAGGATGTAATTAATATGATTCACTCTACCCTTGTCTGCAGAAGAATTATCACCATGTTCTGGGGTAAATTGCTTAAGCAAGAGTGTCCTTCGGAGCAAGGCTGAAGCAGCAAATAAAAAGAACACTGCATGGCGACTTTGTGGCCTTTGGAAGAAGTGGAGGCTCTGCTCTGGCAGCTCCTGGCCCTTTTAATCAGGGATTAATAATGTGCGCACTGAGGGGTCCCTGCAGAAGTGTTCTGTTTCGTTAAGGCAGTGATTTGGTTCTATGTTGTTTTAAAACAACCACGGATGTGAACTGAATGCTTTAGGAAGAGTGTGCCTTCTACATGAACCACAGCCCCGCCACTCGCTCTAGTCTAGGTGGTGGCTCGCCACACGTTTCCATCACCCGTCTGTCAGTCAGGCATTTGAGGTGAGCATTTCCTCAACATACAGAAAGTCTCTACGGACCAGAACCCACCTGAATTTCTGTCGTGGAGCTTCTCATGGAAGAAAGACCGTGCTACATCCTCTCTGGCAAACACAGAATCCACACCCAACTGAAATCCACCAGCTCCCAGACCCGCCCTTCCTCTCTCCTCTCTGCACAGTTCACGTCCGCCTCTTCACCCAGTTTGCAGGGCTGGATTCAGCAGAAGGGAGGCAGCTCTGTTAATCTTTTCATTATGTCTTACCTTTTTAACAGGTGAGACAAATCACTTCTTTTCACATGTTTTAAATGATGTGACTCTTGGCTCGGTCTTGTCCTAAATAAACAACAAGATATCAGGCAGATCCAAGCATTCAGAAATCTCCTGACTCATTGGGAGGCTGTGAGCACAAAGACAACCCCAAGCTATGGGCTGGGTGGGAGAAGCTCCTGGATTTTAGCTTCCTTTCCTTGCTTTCATGTTTTTTCATGCTGAGCAGGAGCGGTCGGTGAAACCATTTTTAATTCCTGTACTCGGGTGTATCATGAGTCAGGTCAAGGTCCTTGAAGCTGAGCTGTTACATTCACAGAGAAGTTAGACTTTTCTTCTATCTTTACACACCTCTGTTCAATCATATTTTCCTAGTTTAAGAATTCCACTCATTGCAATGTCTCAAAGATTGTCATTTGTTTCTTTTGTTCTACTGGATTTTGTTTTTTGGAGTTTTGTTTTTGTTTTTGCTCTTCGACCAGAAGAAGTGAAGTATCTTCAAGACTAAGTAGGCGGAGGAGCAGACAGAAGAGTGCTGGTCTAAACTATTGCAATGGCTTTGTCTTTTATTGACTGTGACACTTTTGTGGTGTCCCCCACCACGGCTTCACAAAGTCTCATTTCCTTCATATGGAAATAGAGACGAGGAGCATCTTTTGGTCTATCATTCAGTGCTCAGAGCTTTGGTTACCTGGTTAGAGCCAGAGGGAAAAAGCCCGACGGACACGTTCTACAAGGGAGACTGCTTCTCTGGGCACGGCCACCATGCTGCACAGCTCTGAGGGACATCACTCTTCCAAGTGTGTGTGACCATGTCCAGTACAGTTGTGCAGCATGTCACCAGCATGGCCTTTATGCACTGGCCCTATGAAATGTGGGTTTGCCTATTTGTATCCGAACATATCTCTTTTAAATAGGTAAGGTTTGTCCCTTTCATATATCTAATATTTATGGTAACTCCTAGAGAGTTTCTTTAACTCGGGGCTTTATTAAACAATAGAATTTGTTGGGACAGACTGACTTACACAAATTAATGACCTTCAGCAGTTCCTTGGTGAGGAATCATTGGCATTCTCGGTCAGAATATCATTACACAGTAACTGGAGTTTGAGCCATATAATTGTGGAATGTTAATTCTATAATAAAGTGAAAATAATTCTCATTCTGGAGTATGGGTTCAGTCTGTCCCTACAAATTCTGAGGTACAAGGGGTTTCCTAACAATGCAACCCATAACATCCATCATCCTAGGGGTGATTTTTCTTTGTTTGCTAAATATTGCAACCTGACTTCTGGACATCTGCTCAGTTCAGTCCCTGGCAGTTTGCACCTGTTCTGCCAGATCAATAATCTGCTCTTGCTGTATCAGTGAGTGTGACTGGAGTTTGCCTCCTGGGACGAGAAGAGAGCCTTGCTAAACTGTGATAAAATAAAGCAAGGTTCTGTTTTGTTGTTTTCCCTTTGAGCAGAAACATGGACACTATAACATTTCCTGTGTAAAATCAGTAAAATAATCTCTGATTGGCTAAAATTAGGATGTACTCTTAACTGTTTCACTTCCAGTTGGATATAAGCCAGTCTTTTTGAAACTTATAATTGCAATCCATAGATGAGTTTGAAATTAGTTGATTGGATTGTGACTAGCATTAAAAAAAAATGAAATAGAATATAATAGGGTAGGCTAGAGCTCAATTAAATTGAAGAAACAAACAAACATCAGCATGTATCCTACACAGTATTGGTACGTGTATCCACTGGGATTCGCCAGAGTAACAGAACCAACAGGATGTATGTATAAAGATAATTATTTAAAGGGATTAGCTCCCCTGATTAAGGAAGCTAGCAAGTCCCAAATCGGCAGAGTGGGCTGCAGGCTGGAAACCCAAAGGCTGTCTGTTGGCAGAATTCCTTCTTGCTCAGGGGATGGTCAGTCTCTTGTTCTAGTCAGACCTTCAATTGATTGGGTGAGGCCCACCCATATCGTGGCAGTCAATCCACTTTACTCAAAGTCCACTGATTTAAATGTAAATATTATCCAAATACACCCTCACAAAACACCCAGAATAATGTCTGACCAAATATATCTGGGCACCACGGTCGCTTAGCCAAGCTGACACGTAAAATTAACCATCATGGTACACATTTGCGGGAGTCATTCATCCCATTTACCAGATATTTTTGATTCTTTCCCCAGGCACACGGTGGAATTGCATTTCCATGTCTTCCTGAAGTCAGACATAGTCAAGTGATTTGGCCAAAGAAGTGTAAGCAGAAGTGATGTGTGCCAGTCTGAATGGGAGTTTTTTTGTTTTGTTTTATTTTAAATAAGCAACAAAAATCTACTTCTCACAGCCCTGGAGGCTGGAAGTGTGACGCTGAGGTCAGGGTCAGGTTCTGGTGAGAACCCTCTTCTCGGTTGCCAGCAGCTGACATCTCACGGCGTCCTCCCATGGCAGAAAGAGAGCTGAGTGGCACTTCACGTGCCAGTGTGGGATTCACCAGTCTCCTCCCCTCTGCCATTAGGACTGGGGGTTCTTGATATGGAGGTTGCTCCATCAGCCTGAGGACAAAGTAAAGCAGTACCCCAACCGCCTCCTGGTGCACGTGACACGAGCCAGAGCAAAATCTTTGCTGCTTTAAGATTTGGGGATGGTGTATTCCTGCAGCATAACCTGGTGGGTCTGACTGTTTCAGTATGCTCTGTGAAACTTGTATTTCAAACTTCATATACATATACTGAGTCACGATGCAAAATGAATCTCTTACTAAATGTCGTAATCAAGATGTCTGATAGCCAATGGCACAGACTGCAGTTTTACCATACGTCATTTATCAGTAAAAGGATTAGAACTGGAAGGACCCTGAGAAATTATCTAGTTCAATGCTCTCACTTTAGAGTCGAGAATTCAGAGGCCAAAAGAGGTCATTTATCCAAGATCACAAGGTAGGCAAGGACTAGGTCTCGTACATTGAACTTCAAGCCGGTGCTTTACCGCAAAACTCTGTTTTGGGAATGATCTTTTCAAAGTGTACTGAAAACTAGGAAACCTCATAAAAATGTAAAGTAATGAAATTATCACAAGAACAAGTAGAATAAGTCAGTTAGAGGGTTTGTCAGACCTGGTCTCAAGTGCTGGCTCTGCCACTGATGAGCTGTGTGACCTTGGGGACATTATTTAATTTCTTTGAACCTCTGCTTCCTTACTTGTAAAATGAGGATAACATTATGTACGTCATATTTTCCTGATGAGTAA